GGATTTTCTTATTTAAATATATATATTTTTTTAAAATATAATAAGAATGCTTATAAATTTATAATTAACATTCAGGTTCTAGAGGAGAAGGTGGTTATCTTCTTAATTCTCAAGGTGAACGTTTTATGGAACGTTATGCACCTACAGCTAAAGATTTAGCATCTCGTGACGTCGTATCACGTTCAATGACCTTGGAGATTCGTGAAGGTCGCGGTGTTGGTCCTGAACAAGATCATATATTTTTGCAACTTTCGCACTTACCAGCTGAAATATTGCGTGAACGTTTACCTGGTATTTCTGAAACAGCAGCTATATTTGCAGGTGTAGATGTCACTAAAGAACCTATTCCCGTATTACCAACTGTTCACTATAACATGGGTGGTATACCAACGCGATATACTGGAGAAGTAGTGACAATTGATGAAGTTAGTGTAAAATTTATATTACTACAAAATTATTGTTATGTATCAAATTTAACAGATAAAAAAATTTTTTGCAGAAAGGTAACGACAAGATAGTTCCAGGACTTTACGCAGCTGGTGAAGCAGCTTGTGTATCTGTTCATGGTGCCAATCGTCTCGGAGCAAATTCTTTGCTTGATATTGTCGTATTTGGTCGTGCATGTGCTCACCATGTTCGAGATACATTGGAGCCAGGAACACCTCATAAACCTCTTGCTTCAGATTCAGGCAACCAGTCTATTGCAAACCTTGATAAGCTTCGTAACGCTAGTGGAAAATTACCTACCGCAGATATTCGTTTAAAGATGCAAAAGGTTATGCAAAAGGATGCAGCAGTTTTCAGAACGCAGAGTACTTTGGAGGAAGGTTGAGAGTCATTAAGAATATTTTGATTTGATATTCTAACAGATATTTTTACATAAATTAATTGATCACTTAATATTATTAAGGTGTTAAAAACATAAATGAAGTGTGGAGTTCCTTTAAAGATGTTAAGGTGTCCGATCGGTCAATGATTTGGAATTCTGACCTTATAGAAACTTTAGAATTACAAAATCTATTGACTAACGCTGTTCAGGCGTTACATTCCGCGGTGGCTCGTAAAGAATCTCGTGGAGCCCATGCTCGCGAAGATTTTAAGGTAGATATTGGAATTTTTTAAGAAGAAATATTTGAAGTTAGTCGGTTGATTTATTACTTTTTTTAGGAACGTAATGATAAGGAATGGTTAAAACATACGTTATCCTGGCAAGATCATCAAACAGGAGATGTTACATTAAAATATCGGCAAGTAACACAAAAGACTTTAGACGAAAAAGAATGTTCTAGTGTAAGTATTATTATTTTTTTAATGATTAATGATTTCATTACTATTTTAGTGTTATTTGAATTCCTGATACTATTTTTATATTATATAGATACCGCCAAAGGCTAGAGTTTATTAGTACATAAGGTGAAATGAAAAAAAAAAGTGTATTAAAATAGTACATTATAAAATAAGGACTTTTTACTTTTGATGTACATTATCTTTTTGTTCTTTGTTTACAAGTGATGATTATTGTTTTATTTTTTATTATAGTAAAATGAAATCGTTCGACATATTTAATTTGTTCCACATAAGTTAAGAGAAAAAAATATATATATACATTACAACTAATTTTTAAATAAAATTCCAATCATTTAGTATATATTGTAATAATTTTGTGATCACAATATAATCCTGGATTGTCAGAAGGTTGCAAGTATTTTATATAAGAAATATTATATTCATAACACCTATGTTATATAAACCTTATATATAATAATTATGTAAACTAGATTAGGGTAAGGGTATAGGTTTTTAGTACATTATATATTTAATAGTATGGTGTTATATAACATGGTATTATGTATATAACTTTCCTTTATATAATAATCTATGATTTAAGATCTTATAACTTTAATAATATATTCATATTAATTTCGAAGATATTCTTTTTTGATGAATAACGATGTATTTTTGGGCTAATGATTGGTTTCTAACTCGTAAAGAGACATGGGTCGGCGTTAATAAGATCACTCGGAATTTTACCAATGACTAAAAACATAGTCAATAAGTAAAGTTGCCCGCATGATTATTTTCTATAGTTGATCATGCTTTTGATGAATTCCAATCGGGAATTTTGGAAAATGGGTTTCTTTGTGAATAATAATAATGATATTTAGCGTTAAGTTTTTTTATGTAAATTGTTGTGCATTCCTACAGCACAACAAACGGAGACCATTATAACTCAGATGCATAAATATACAAGCTGGAACAGACAAAAATTCAAAGCTACGTTTTTGACTATAAATGTATCAAGTAAACGAAATTTATATTTTGTATCAATATTCCGGACAAATAGTATTCCGCAGATCTTAGACTCGAACTGAGTCCGATTTTTAAAAAACCCGACCGCGGTAACACTATTGTATATATCATCAAAAAAGAATTATTTTATCGTTATATATTCTATATATTTGATTTATTGATGGGATTGCTACCGACACCGCGATGATCGACATGAGCACCAAATTTTCTTTTAGATGATATTTGAAATTTTTATAACGTTGAGAGAAAATAACTAGGCAATCACCCATCAAATTTCGACAATATTTTTTTATTTATTTACAGAACTTGTAGAATAAAAAGAAAAAAAAAATCATCGATTTTGATTGGGTGGTTAATGAGTTATCTTTATTCAAAGTCTTAAAAAAATTTAAACCGTTTATAGATACAAAAAAGTAAAACTTTGAGCGAAAAAAACTTAGCAAATACTTAATCAAATTTAATGAAATTTTTATTCCACATTTCTGTAGAATCAAGATAAAAAAATTTCATCGAATTTGGTTGGGTGATTGCCGAGTTATCTTCGCTCAAAGTTTTACAAAACTTCGCCGCAGCTATTATTTTAATAAGTGTTAAGCTTTGTAAAACTTTGAGTGAAGATAACTTGGCAACTACCAAACCAAATTCGATGAAAATTTTTTTTTATTTTAATTCTACAGAAATGTGGAATAAAAAAAAAAAATAAAAAATTCATTGAATTTGATTAAATGGTTGCTAAGTTATTTTCGCTCAAAGTTTTAAGTTTTATAGACGTTTTACATTTTCTGACCGATTTTACCGAACCGTATTTCAAATTTCCTTTTTTTAAAGCGAAGCAACTAAAATACAGTTAAGTTTGGAATTAGGGTTAGGGATTAGGCAAGAATTATATATAAAATTGCTCTCCCGACATTGTTTTTTGTATTTTCAAGGAGTTAATTCAATATATGATCTACATATTGCATAAATCGTATTCTTGATATCTATATATAAATAATCCTAAATGCATCAAAAAAGTAGCTCTAACCCTAACTCCGCTTTAGCCTTCCCCAAAATACTGAAATAACGATAAGAAAATTTAAATACGGTCCGGTAAAATCGGTCACATAGGGTGCAGACAAATTTCACAAGTTTGATTGGTTAAAGGTAACAGGTGACTATCGGGTAATCTTGTGATATGTTGGCCCCACGTAGCCTCGTGTAATTTTCTTTTACACATTATCTCAATTTTTATTACACAAATCAACTTTCATTTATAATTGAAAAATGTCAATCATGTCAAAATTTATATGAATCTAATAACTCATTTTTTGAAAAATTGTAAAAATGGGCTGTTTCTATTGTCTGCACCCCACATTTCTAAGACTTTGAATAAAGATAACTCATTAACAACCCAACCAAATTCGATTTTTTTTTTTTTATTTATTCTACAAGTTCTGTAGATTCAAAATAAAATAAAAAACCGTCGAATTATGATGGGTGGTTGCCGAGTTATTTTCTCTCAATGTTAGAAAATTTGGGTGCTCATGTCGATCATCGCGGTGCTGGGAGACAATCACGTGTTGCGGTGTCGGTAGCAATCCCCAAATCGAAATGTCTTGATAAAAAAATTTAAAAAGTCTAACATATTAATCAAAAAACATGAATCATATGAATTTTATTTTTTTGGTGCACCGTGCACCGTGGTGCTACGATCGAACAGATTTGTCAAGGAAATCTTTAGCTTCGTTAATTTTACTTGCCAAGTAAGGTGATCCTCCACGATCGGGATGATTAAGAAGCATTACTCTGCGGTGTGCTTCTTTAATTTCGGCTTTATTAATACCAGTTTCTCTATCAATAATAATGTTATCGAGTAAAATTAATGAAATTATTTATACTTTAAAATCCTCAAATAACGTATTTTTTTTTTAAAAAAAAAAATACCGCAAGCCTAAGATTTTTATTGCTTCTTGCTTAGTAATTTTACGTTCGAACCCCCCTATCGGCCGTTTCTTGGATATTGTATTACTAAATATTGATTTCGAAGCAAGCGGTTGAGCAGCTTTGAATGCCCACCTGCCAGCCAGTGCTGCTGCTGTAACTACGGCGCCGATTATAATAGGTGTCGACTAATATTTAATAAAATTCATATTACGTTAATTCGATCTGAAATTAAAGTTACTACTCTCAAAGAGGATTTATGTTTTATTACCATTTTTAAAATCTTTTTTTTAATTAAAAAAAAAAAAAAAAATATCATTTATCATTTATATGTTTTAAAAAGTTTCACATACCTAAAATGAAGTATCGGATTTGTAAGAAATTTTGTAATAACGATAATGATTAATATTAGCCAATCAAAACCTTCACTATTTGTGTCCATCTATAAAAATTGATTTTTTTTTTTTTAGAATTAAAAAGAAAATGGATGAACCAATTTTCAAACTTCCAGAAATAATTGACAACGAAAATGGCTGGGGTCCTTCCCCTGCGATGTTACCAGAAAAATTCAGAGATATACCGTATGCACCTTATAGCAAAGCTGACAAGCTAGGTCGGATTGCTGATTGGTCTTCACCAGAACAGAAAGAGAAGGAGACTACCGGAAGAACAAGAGCAAGTTATCGCTATCGAGGTACTTTTATAAACTGTACTTTAAGGAAGTGAATCATTAGATCGTTTGACAAGAGACTCGGTTATTTAGCCTGAAAGCTTATAGTAAACTTGTGTATTTTATCCAGATATTAATGGTTCGACCTTTTGTCTGTACGGTAGATCAATATACAGCTTACGGTTATGGTGCGTCCAATGCTTTTGCTTATACACATGCTGAAGACGAAGCTTCCTTTTCTGTCGTTGATAACCGCTCGGCTGCTCAAAAGAAAGCTTCATATAGAACTACTGGAGGCACAAAGGTATATTAGGTATCAGAGATAGTTATTTATACCCATGATCCATTTTATTGAATGTTAATTGTTTTAGAACCGTCCTGGCACGCGGAACCAACAACAACGTCAGCAAAGGAATGGTCAATATCAAAGGCTAGGCATGAACAACCGAGGGGCTACTGGGAATAAGATGACTGCTGTCAATGTCAGAAGACGATTTGGCTGGAAAGATTATGATAAGGTATCGAATCAATAATTGTCACAAACTTCAGGCTTCATTATTTAACATTTATATCAACAAACATAGCCTCAGCGTGCGCGTGATGCGTCAGTTAACGTTGGTCCTGAATGGCAAGTTCTTGAAGAAATTGAATTTAATCGTTTATCCAAATTAAACTTGGATGTGGACGAAGGCGAAGATATGTACGTAAATACAAACTCTGTTTTTATATTATTTTATATTCTAGAGGTAACATTTATATATTTTATCTTTAGTTCATCTCATGGTTTCTTGTACTATTATGATAAGAGTTATGATCGTGTTAACACGAAAATGGAAAAAGCATTGCAACCAAATGAGCGCGTGCGATATTTTATTACAACATCCAAAGATCCAATTATCGAACAAGTAACACTCGAAATTCTTTAAATTATTTACTGGAAATATTTCTTACGGCAATATTCTAACTAAATATTTTATTTTAAAAAACTAGCTTGCAAAAGATGATGAGGCTACAGTATTTGCCACAGATACTATTTTAAGTATTCTGATGTGTGCTCCGAGATCTGTATATCCGTGGGATATAGTTATTAATCGTATTGGCAACAAGCTTTTCTTCGATAAACGAGCCAATGGTGTGTAAATTTTCTAATCTTTTTTAATGAAATTGTAACATTATTAATTAGAATTTTTTTTTTTTTTTGCTTCCATAGATTATGTTACCGTTAACGAAAATGCCACGGATCCGCCTATTGAAACCGGGGATAAAGATAGTATCAATTCGCCCATTGCTCTTTCAATGGAAGCAACTATAATTAATCATTGCTTCGCCATGCAAGTAGTTAACGAGGTATTAATAATTTAGAACAGTGTTATGTTTTTTATTACTAACGATCAATAATTGATCAAGTGATATACATTATATAATAGTCAGAAAAGTATGAATTTGATAAACCAAATCCTTTCGGTAGTTCTGATGATCTAGAATTTATGGCACCATGTGCTTATCGTTATCGTCGGTTTGATCTCGGAATTAATGAAGAGGAAGATGTGCATCTTATTGTTCGTACGCAATTAGATTCGGCTGTAAAAACTCCTACAGGTGATTCATTCATTACCATAAAAGCTTTGAATGAATTTGATTCCCGTTCTCAGGGTGCAGGAGGTGCATTGGATTGGCGGCAAAAATTAGATACTCAACGAGGAGCTGTTGTTGCCACTGAAATGAAAAATAATAGCTGTAAATTAGCTAGATGGGCAGTTCAAAGCATTTTAGCTGGTGCAGATCAGATGAAATTAGGGTAATTCATTTTATGGTATAGGTTTTTCCATCTATGTTAATATTTGTTAAATTAACTTGCTTTTTGTAATTTGATTAGATATGTTTCGCGTGCTGGTCCAAAAGACAATCGTCGTCATGTGATATTGGGCACACAATATTATAAACCCCGCGATTTTGCTGCGCAAATGAATTTGTCAGTTTCTAATGGATGGGGTATTGTGCGGACTGTTATAGATCTTTGCATGAAGTTGCCAGAGGGTAGATATGTGTTGCTTAAAGATCCAAACAAGGTAAAAAAAATCACACATAAATTGGTATTAAATAGTCAGATATGTATTTAACTAACATTTTTTGACAATATATATATTTAGCCTGTAGTTCGTCTGTACTCTGTTCCTCCAAATACATTTGAAGTTGAAGATCCTCTTTTAGATGATGGAGATGAATTAGAGGAAGAAGATGAAGAAATAACTGAGACAAGATAGTAATGAGTAAAGTTGCGACCTCAACCTTTTTTTTGTGAAACTGACATTATTATATAGTTGGGGTTTTAGAATTGGGATTTCTACTTCATTCGGGATAAGTAATAAAAATATCCTGATCCGTTGGGTATTAGCGGAAACTTCGTTTCCGCTTGTACACATACGGTCAGGGTATTTTTGCTAAATACCCCGTGATCTTGATATTGTGATCGGGTATTTTAACCAAAATCCAAACGCATGTCCCATTTTCGGTTAATAGTATAAAATTTAAAAACTAATTAAATTTGTTAAATCAATACTATAAATTATTAAAAACTAAAAACCTAAAGTGATTTAGTGATTAAGCAGGGTATGTTGAATAAAATGATGTGTTATACAGTATCTATCTAATAGTTATATATAAAATAAGTAAGAAATAATTACAAAAATAAAAGCTTTTACAGCCAAAATAGAACTTCAATAAGCTTCTTGACCAAGTTCTTTATACTAATGTTTCTCCAAACCCGGGTTCGGATCGAAGTTTGAATCAGTTGAGATCCGAACTGTCATATAGTTGTCATACTGTATGCTTCGTAGATAGAAGTTTGTTTGGTTAGCTGAAGATAAAAATTGGTTTGTATAGTCTTAAAGTGAAATACTTTTGTGTATTATGCTATTTTTTAGATTGTTTGGCAGGCAAATTTGTTTGCTTTTATTTGTAATTTTTGTAATTTTTAAATAAAATTTTAAATATTAATTTTAAATATATTGTTACAAGTGGTGTAGTCTTTTTAATACACTTCAAGTAACATAAGACACAGAAGGTGGATTTCTAATAGTGTCAAAGTGGAATATTATATCACTGTAGCAGTTTGTTAGTAAAAGTTTATTTTTAAAATCAAAAGATTATATTTATTAAAGAACTAGTAGAGAATTTAAAACTTTATTAGAGAACTGTTAAGAGTTACAGAACTGATTTTACAGGAAAAGAAAAAGTTGGGGTTTATATAGTTTTTTATAATTAAGAATAAGAATAGTAAGAATGATAAGAATAGTAAGAACAGTAAAAATGGTAAGAATAGTAAGAATGGTAAGAATAGTAAGAATGGTAAGAATAGTAAGAATAGTAAGAATAGTAAACTAATTATAGTTGTTTCTAAGATAATTCAAAAACTAAGTATCTTACAGACATAAAATATAGTTTGTTTAAAAGATCTAATCAAGCTGAATCTAATAGTAAAATCTAAATCTAACTTTAGCTAATAGGTTATTAAGAAAAATGATAATAACTAAATCTAAATATATATAATAATATAAAAATATAATAATTAAGAAATATGCTAAAACCTATTTTGTAATATTTTCATTCTCTTAAAGAATTTACTTTATAAATTTTAAAAGATATAAAATATAAAAACTAAAACTAATAAAATAAAAATTTCTGATTCTAAATATTAAATATTAAATTTTAGTTGAAATTATTCAATAGAATTTGAATATTTCATGTAATTAAAATTAAAAGAAAATATTTACTGATATTTGATTACTATTTTTCAAAAATAGTTAAGAGTAGAGTATATGTAGATCATTTTTATATGATCTATATAGCAAATTCTTATTTTTGTAAAAAATTGAAAGATATTATTAATAAACTTTTAAGATTACTTTACAGAAAGTAATATTTTTATGACGTTGTAGTTATAATTAAGTTACTAAATAGTTATAGTATGATTAATAAATAAAAATGAAATCATTACTTAATCGAAACTAAGCAGTTACGGTAGACTTAACTACTTTGTAACGATTTAGTAATCTCTTTGAAATTAATAACGTAATAATATGAATTTGTAGTATTTACATAGTTAGTATAAAATCGCTAAAGCATCGCTACAATTCATTTAAAAATAAAAATTGCAACAATTTAGTTACAATTACATAATGGCTTCATGATAATCTTGTAATATAATAGTAAAAAAATTAATATCTAATTGCTACTAAGCAGTTACAATAGACTTAACTATTTTGTAGTAATAACATAATGATATGAATATGTAGCATTTACATAGTCAGTATAAAATCGCTAAAGCATCACTACGATTCATTTAAAAATAAAAATTGCAATGATTTAGTTACAATCACATAATGGCTTCATAATAATCTTGTAATATAATAGTAAAAAAATTAATATCTAATTGCTACTAAGCAGTTACAATAGACTTAACTGCTTTGTAGTAATTTAGTAACGGCTCAAAATTAATAATGTAATGATATCAATATGTATAGTTTATAAAATCACAAAAATCTCATAAATATATTAATAAAATAGATGAATTGTTACGATTTAGTTACGATTTAGTTACGATTACTTAAATATTTAAAAATAACATAGTTACAAAATTATTAAGATTTTATTATAGTTTTATTTAAAATTATATATTACTACGATTTGGTAACAATTATATAACGATTTAATAATAATATAGTTACAAAATAATTAAGATAGTATTACGATTTATTTGTAATTAAAACAATCGTAACGATTTAGTTATGATCAAATAATGATTTAGTAAAAAGATTACTAACTCACAATATGAATATAAAAACTAATGCATTGTTACAGAAAACAATAACCGTAACTAAACGAAGTATAACTAAATTATAGTATAAACAATAATTAGAACCCAAGATCTATGCATATATAATTGACTTCTTGAAGATAAAATATGTATAATGTATCTAATATGAAGTGACGAAAGATTACTTCAAAATTCTAATATTTAATAATAAATTTAGTAATTATTATTAGCACATAGGGTCTCTAAAAGATTCAACCAAAAATGACAAAGTGATAAAAGACTATTTTCAATTGCTGAAACCTATGAAAGACTATTCCAAGATTATCAAAAATAACTAAATGATGAAAGAAAAAAGAATTAGTTCAAATTAAAAAAAAGAAGAAAAAAAAAGCATTTATCTTACAAGTTCTGGTTCTAGCGAAGCAACAATAAAAAAACTTACAGGAAATAACTCTAAGAAAAAAAAATAAAAAAAGATTAGTATTAAAAAAAAACTCTACTAGAAATAACAAATTGATGATGAAGTGACAAAAGACTACTTCAAAATTACTAAAACAAAGAAGTGATAGAAGACTACTTCAAAAATCACTAAGAACAACGAAGTGATGAAAGACTATTTCAAGATCATTAAAAAACAATAAAGTAACAAATGAAATAAGAATTAGTTCAAGTTGAAAAAAATAAAAAATAAAAAAATTCTTAACTTACAAGTCACAGTTCCAACAATGAAAAGACTTACTAGAGATGACTAAGAAAAAAAAAAAAACAAAGAAACATTAGTATTAAGAAAAAAAACTCTACTGAAATTAACAAAGTAACAATAAAATAACAAAAGACTACTTCAAAATCACCAAAATAAAGAAGCAATGAAAGACTACTTCAAAATCATCAAAAACAACGAAGTGATGAAAGATTATTTCAAGATTATTAAAAATAATGAAGTGATAAATGAAAGAAGAATTAGTTCAAGCTGAAAAAAAAAGTACTTATCTTACAAGTCCTAGTTCCAACAATAAAAAGACTTACTAGAGACAACTCTAAGAAAAAAAAAAAACAAAGAAATATTAGTATTAAGAAAAAAACTCTACTGAAATTAACAAAGTGACAATAAAATGACAAAAGACTACTTCAAAATTACTAAGAATAATGAAATAATGGAAGACTATTTCAAGATCATTGAAAATAACGAAGTGATGAAAGTCAACTCTAGAAAGAACAAAAAAATCTAAAGCAAAAAATAAACAGAAAGTGTTAGTAATTATATAAACAAAAAAGAAGAAACAAAAACAAATCAACTAATAAATCTATTCAAATTCAAAGTGATAGTCTAGAAATTTACAAGAAAAGAAGTATTAATACTAGATAACTAAATGAAATATACTTATAAAAAGATTATAATATATCGTT